CTCACGTGCACAATATTTTTGAGACAAAAGGCGGACAACCACCACGCAGGTCTGAGGGATATATTTGAGGGAGTTGTGAGGGAATTAAATAAAGTGACCGCAGCCACTTGAATAAAAAAAAAAAATATTGACGCAAGACAGAGCCGCTACAAAAAGAGAACACATACGCGAGAAGCCCGAGCAGTAGCGGAGGGAGGCTGCACCCGCAAACGAGAAGGATAACTTTATTCTTCTCTTTTCTTCTTTATTTATTATGTTAGGCTAGTTTTTGTTTCTAGTTCCGGGGAAGTCGAACCCTAAGATTGACTATGTTTTGATTGATTATGGTTGATGATTTTATTATCTTTTTGGAATTGTTTGTGTTATTTTGAATAATTCACCATGATGTGTTGAGTTGAATTTAGATTGATCACCTAGATTAGGCTTTACATATCTACACCTGAATTAGGCCTTCAATCCATAATTGTTGATGTGTTTAATTCGTAAGTGGTATCCGGAAGATGGTAACTACCGGGGATAACACGGCCTATTTAAGTGAACGAACGCGGTTGAGTTCACTACTTAGTCTAGCCTATTTTTCTAATTCGTAAAGCGGCTGATTGTATTAAATCTAAAAGGCGATTTCTAGACAGTACAAGAAGTCAGGTTTAATCGTAGGGTGCCTCGCGATTAAATTAAAAATAAGAAAAAATTTGGGTAACAGACCGTGTCGTTGCCTAGGGCAAGTTCTTTGTGCTGCTAAGTTTATTCTCACAGCGCGCGTACAAATTAGACACGTGGGCTTCCTCGTTCCTTGTCTGATCCTGTATTCATCTATACAGCGAGAAATAATGCAAGGATAGGGCTATTACATTTATGACCTCTCACATTATTTTTCAGGTCCATCGACATCTCTCCATCCTCACTGCTCTAGGAAGACTAACGCCTAGAGACTGAATAGGTTGCACGCCTGTCCAACACCCACGACCCAGGGCCATTGTTTGGCTGAGACCCAGCCCCTTTAGGTTAAGCTGAACGCTTTTAGATCCTTCAACCAACTCACCAGAGCCGTCGGAGGCAGAGGACTGATTAGGGATCACACTGAAGCTCTCATTTTAGCTTTACATGCCCCTCTTCGGGCCTCATCGAGCTATGAAGCGGAGATTCAAGTTCTGCATATCAGTCTCCAGGCTGCCACATCTATCTCTACTGACATTTTGATTGACCTGGATGCTGCAGCTGTCGCCACCCTCTTGACATCGAGCCACCAGGGCTCGCGGTATATACAACACCAGCTCATGCGCATCAAATCCATACTCTAGTCAGTTCGTCACCAGATCTTTCACATTTTTCGAAAGGGGAACTGCCCTGCTCACTTCCTAACTAGCATCGGTGCCTCTACCCCATAAAAGGGAACTTTTGGCCCAGACGATGCCTGATATAGCCCTATTATCATAGCCTAATTCAAATGCTAATTACTCGACTGAACAAGCATTGCTGACGACATCATTAAGTCGACATCGCCGAAGTCGACTCGGCCCATCGGCCATCCGAGGATTGCCATTAACCCGACATTGATCCCGAGATGATTTTCCCAAGTCGACTTGTTCCATAATAGACAAGTAGGCGTAGCAGAATACCCTCAATACACATACGACTTTAGGTCGACTTGACGGTATCCAAAGTCGACTTATGAGACCTGCGACGACTTGATACACTTGGATACAACACAGGGAAAATCTTCAAGTGAGACCGAGCTTACGTAGGATAAGAAGGAATCTTCATGCTGACTCAGGAGTGCGCAGAATACGAACCGATCGTGGTATTTTGGACATTTCACGTAAGTCGGCCAGGGAATTTTAGGTACCTCAAATAAGTGTTTCCACTCTTATATGAAGGAGTTGAGGTAACTACAAACCCTAACTTTTCATTCTCTACTCATATTCCAGATACTGCTCCTACTGAGCAGAGCTCATCTTCACCACTTTCACTGACTTCAGCGTCGGAGGCTCTTCACCGGAAACACTTCTGGTGTTGAGTTCTTGCAGGTGTTTGCAGCGGTAAGGACGATTTGGAGCTAATTCGAACAGATCGGAGCTCATTTCCACCGGTTCACTCCAGATCTAGGAGAAGACCCATCAACGCCCCACTTTGACTCCGCACCTATATGCGGATGGATCAGGACGACTACCTCTCTTTTAGATATTTGTAGCCTTTTAGTAGTTAGTTTTTAGTTTTTTTTTTAGTTTTTAGTGTATTGTTATGGTACTTCAGATTCTTTTGTGCGTCAGACTGCTCACCTAGGAACGTTCTAACCCAGGTTTAGACGACCCTTTTGGGTGGATCTTTTTTTTTTTCATTTTTGTTTATTGCATTTGGTTGGACGTGTAGTCCTTTGTACACATTGGCCCTTTTAGGGTTTTTACTATATAACGGTTGGGGATCCTGCCTTAACCTTCCATCCATCAAGGTGTTTCTTTGTTAAAATAAATAAATAAATAAATAAAAACAGCCATGTTCTCAAAACTCATCAAGTGACGAGATGGATCAGTGGACCTATCATGAGTAATCCTAAGCTCTCTAAACCCAACTAGTAGATCAACATCTAATATTGCATGGGCAAAATGGTGGTATCAATCTCTCCCAGCTCACATCTCCTCTACTTTGGCTTGCAACTCTCGGATCTGAGCTCCTATCTTTTCCACTGCTACTAAAAATATCAACCTCCTCTCTCCTTATCAGTGCAGTGAGGTTTAACGTACTCAACAACTCTGGTATTGGTGGCTGGGAAACATGGTTGCAATCACCTATGCGATTTGTTGGGCTCGTCACTCATAAGTGTCACTGTCTTTTGAGTTGCTTGCGCGCCTTCTACTACCACTGGTCCATCGACCAACTTTGACTGGATTTAGCTGTACTGGGAGTGTTGGCACGACTTCCATGCATGATATGCTTTCTGGTTGTATGGTCAGACCTCGAAATGCTGTTGGGGTACGAAGGATTGAGAATCAAGGTTATCGATGTAAAGATCGACCTCGAAAAGCTCGGTGGTGGGCCTGCTCCAATCAGACGACTGGAGACCCAAGCTTCGTCGAAGCTGAGCTCCAGGTTTCTTCTGGGATCATTGCTCGCCATGAACAATGGTGTTTGAGGGCTTGTTAGCGAAGTTCCCACGAACAACGTCAAATGATAGAGCAAATGACCTCGACCGGGTTGAACGCCCTTTGATACGCTCTCGACCGCCTAAAGACATGCAAAACAACGTTGGGGTTTGTCTAGACATAGAAGTTCCAATGCTCCAGTCTGTGTTTGAAGAAGAAAGTGATTTATAGAAGGTATGTAAGTATAAAATGCATAGAGTGTGAAGAGTATAAATGATCATACCTTACATCTGTACATAAAGATATATCCTTGTTTCTCAATACTGCCCGACTGGGCTGCCCCATTGCTCGAGCTACCCATTCGTGCTGCTCAAGAGCTCAAACTACCTAATTCTGTTAGACCACGTGGTCCTATCCACGTGTTCTTCTTATCTTAATTATATTCCTTGTTATCTATTATATGGTGCGTTCACATTATCAATCTACCTTATTAGGTGGTCTAATTGCGCTAGAAGCTTGGATTCCCTTGAAGTAGATTGCTCCGACCTCCAATGGATGAGCCTATCTCTTAGATCATACGTCGACCTACAGACCTCTAGGTCGAGTTTTCATCAGGCTAGCCGAGAGCAGTAGCTCGACCTTTTGGCGAGCTATCTAATCTATGATGTTATCATCAATTTAGTGATTCCCCGACCTCTGATGTCCATGATGATTGACCGACCTATGTTCACCCGAAACGGTCAGACTAATCTTTAAATCGTACGCGACTTGGTATGATAATCTCATTTCATATTCATATATTTATACATAGCCCATAATGTAATTAATTATATTGACGAATCAAATTTGAAGTGTCATTTTTTATTAATTAATTATCGAGTCCTGATATTACATGAAAACCAACGCTAATATTCTTTTCAAAATTAGTTGCACGAGTATTTACTAGAGTCTACTGAACCATATGTCAACTATATTATGTGGATTGTTTATTTAAGTTAAAAAAAAAAAAAAAAATGAATTAATATAATTAAAGTTAATTACAATTTACACGAGCCTTACACGAACTAATTAAAGTTCATCATGTTGAATCAAGAGAGAGCCCCACTCGACGAAATTAATTTATTTCTTGTCATCATCTATCTCTAGAAGGAAGTGAGCAAAAAGATGAGAACAACTTTAAGGACATCCATCAAAAAAGTCCACAGCGTATAATGTAGGCGTGATCACCTCAGAACAGTAACTAAAATGAGTAACATATTACTAATAGGGTTGACTCAACTGGTAAGCAATTTGATGTCGCTTAAACAAGATTTTGGGTTCGAGTCATTGTGAATGCAAAAAAACCCTTATTGGGGCTCACCCACCATTGCCAGGTGTACGACTCGAGTCGACCAACGAATTAGTTAGGGCAAAACTCTGAATACCGTGGTTGGTTAAAAAAAATGAGTAACATATTTAGGGCTTGTTTGGAAACACTTATTGATAAGTCCATTTCAAGATGAACTTTTTGAAAAGTGACTTCTCAATAAGTCTTCAATATAAACTTCTTTGAAATGAACTTTTTGTAGGAGTTACTTTTTTAAAAGTCCATTTTGTTGTTTACACCAAACATCTTTTTATATTGGAAATGGACTTTTATAGTCAAAAGTCCATTACAAAAGTGCTTCCAAACATACACTTATTTTGTCAGATGCCAAAAAGACACGTCACGTGGCCATCTTTGCGCCATTCATCCTTTTTCTGGTCAACAGAGCGTAGGCGGTTCAAGCCCGGCACCTCTTCCTGCTTCCTCTTTCCCCATTAATCACACAACATTATTTTTTTATTTCTATATATGCATAATCTTCTCTCTCAAGGTCATGAGCAGTGAGCTTCCTGTTAATTCGGACTCAACATATTCTGTAAATCACAATTAAGACGATGATTCAAAGAGAAGAAGCAAAGTCGAGCACAAAGCTCGGAGGCAGCACGACCACAACCACGACCACGACACCACCATCATCATGGTCGTGTTCCAAAGACCCGCGCGTCTGGCGGGCCCTTGGCGGTAAAGACCGTCACAGCAAAGTGTGCACTGTGCGCGGCTTGCGCGACAGGCGTGTGAGGCTATCGGTACCCACCGCCATCCAGCTGTACGACCTCCAGGACCGGCTGGGGCTGAGCCAGCCGAGCAAGGCCGTCGACTGGCTCCTCAACGCAGCAAAACGCGAAATCGACGAGCTACCACCTCTGCAATTCCCACAAGGCGGTTTTGTCAGTGTTCCGGTCGAGACTAATGCTACAAAGCACGAGCCGGGTGATATTATTGAACGAGACGAGACGAGGTTCGATCTACTCAAAAATCGAGGTGATCAATTAAATAGTTTTCTCGTGCGCGAAAGCTTTCCGAATTATAGTCCGCCCGATCGGTTATCGTGGGAAATGATGGCAGCTAATCCTCGGGAAAATGATGTTCGTGATTTCGGGTTTTTTAAACCGAATCAAACGGGAAATTTGTGTGATCATCAGTCAGCTGGAATGATCACTACACAGTCTACACAACCTTATTTTCCTCAAATAGAGATGTCCATTAATCCGGTTATGGCTTTTCAATTGGGCACGAGTACCACTGCGAATCTTCTTCCAGTGGACTATAGTGAAGCCAGCCAACAGAATAAGCACATTCTTCGTAGCTAGCTCACTTGAAAGTCATTTATCTATTATGTGGATGGCTAAATTGACATGCTCAGTCGACTGTTAACTTTCCTTTCTGTTCTCTTTATTTATTTTTTTATGGAGGAAAACATAGTGTTTTTGGAGATTGTGATATTCATGCTCGATTTGATCACTGTGTTTGTTTGTAACGTGAATCTCATGGTTCATGGAGAATGAGGAGTACATGAACAAAAAAAAAGGGTCAATAATACTATTGTTTGGAACTCTCTTTGCTCTGCGTGCCGCGTAGGTCTTTGCAGCCCTGTGCATGCCTGTGCGCCGTTGACTCGTACAAGGTCGTATGGACTTTAAATCATGCCTGATTTTTGCCTACTCGTCCCAAACAAACCCTATTACAATTATAGCATGCCTAATACATGAACATACCTCATTAGCTTATCCAAACATTCGTCAATACCCAAACGTTTTGCGAATCTAACAATATTTGAGTTACTTTTTTCACCTTACACTAGTAATTACCCGTGCGATGCACGAGATGGTATATTTCTAAACATTTTTAAATAATAAATATTAGATTTAGTGAACTTGTTATATTTGTAACAAAAGTAAACGCGTTGGGTTGTACCCAAAAAAAAAAAGTAAACGCGTTGGGCGCAAACTACAACATTCATAAATTATTGAAAACTTCTTTATACACAACGTTTTTTGTTTGATTTGGCGTCGAGTCATCGTCCACAAACTAAAATTTTCAAACCAATTCGGTTGGTGACACGGGATACAGCAACATACAACTGTCCATGGCTGAACACAGACTTCTCAAGAAATAAACCAACATGCAATAACGATTGTCCACGGCTCTTGTTGATAGTCATGGCGTACGATACCATAATAGGAAACTGACGCCTCTGGAACTTGAAAAAAAATCGGACATAGGAAGGAGTAATAGCCATTCTCGGAAGCAACACCTTCTCGCCTGCGTCTTTTAAAATAAATATGATCTGTCAACAAAAGAAACAAATAAAAAAAGAAAACATTTATTGGGATGTATGTTGTTTATGTCCTTGTTTCTACTGCCAAAATTATGTTTTTTCAAAATTCAAAACGAAAAACTTAGATGACAAAAATATTTTAATAGGGCTGAAAATTAATCTAACATATTTATCAAATTTACCATTTAAGATCAAATGAATTCGAGTGACAAGATCCAGTTGAATTTGTAATTACGAAAATAGTTGATGAAATAAATATGGCCATGATATATGGACGTAATATTATTACACAGATATTGGATCCAAACAATATTTAAGGATAATATAACATTTTTTTTACGTTAATATTTAATAGATAGATGTATAATTCTGAAAATTTTAATGATGATTATATTTGACAAATGAACTAAACAAATATTTGACAAATGAACTAAACAATATATACTTGAAATATGTGTGAATATGCCAGTTCATGGATAGCTCCATACACAAATTCGATGCCATTACTACACAAACATTAAACATGCATCCATATCAATTATGGAAAAATAGAGAATTGAAGGAAATTACTAACTACATAAAATAAAAAGAAAACTTACATATATTCCTGAGTTCAAGATTCTTCAAAGCAAAAAAAACAAAGTTAAAAATAAAATCCCATGATCTAAATAAAAGGATTAGTAGTTCTTCAGGCACATCATAAAGCATGTAAGGTAGAAGGGTCATAGTTTCGATTATATATACATTACAATTAATGAAATGACCTTGGCATGAGGAAATTGACACATACTTCAGCAATTTACAAAAGATTACTCTGCAATGTCATCGAACAAACTTGCAAATACCAAGTTATTCAGGTTCCCGGCCTCTTAACTTACTGATTACATTGGTTCCAAATGGCCCTTTTCGAATATCACGAGCTATTTGTTTTCATAAGTGACATTACTTAGTTTCATTAGGGTTGTTGCCTTTCGCCCTCTACCTGTGCAAACTTGAGGCTTATGTCCAAATATCTCTCTTGCATTTCCTTTAAGTCCTCTTCCATTAATTTATTGTCCTCTTTCAGCAATGTCATTTGTTTGTTTAATTCTTCAATGTGTGCTGCAGTTTTTGTGGAACCATAGCTGAAAATATCAGAAATGCTTCGGATGTCACGTTGGATTATTTATATATATGTATATATTTTATATTTATATTTATAATTATGATCATATGCGACTTTAATTATAATGGAATATAAAACACACCTTTTTCGTTGGATATCAAGCTCGTGATACTTGGAATTTTGTCTCCTTATTTGATGCAGAATAGATATAAGTATTATTATTATTATTATTATTATTATTATTATTATTATTATTATTATTATTATTATTATTATTATTATTATTATTATTATTATTATTTAATAATTAGTAGTAGCTTAGAGAATAAGCTAGGTTTAGTTTGTGAGGTTTATTTAAAGAATTCTTATGCTGTGTGAGAGGGCAGAATTTGATGAATGAAAATAATTGACCGTGTTTTCTTTTGAGAGAGTATCCCGTGTTCTGGAGAGAGTATCTCCTTTTATCTTCCCATTTGTACACGCTTTCGCTACATCAGTTGGCATCAGAGCCAGCCCATGTGCCAGCGGTGACCGCTGGGCCCACAAGGGGGAGGTGGATGATGCAGCGCATCCCACATCGGGTTTGAAAGGAAACGAAGCAGGCCTTATATAGGCCTTATATGAGGATGTGGATACTTTCACTAGTAAGACGCGTTTTGGTGGGTGTGTATTGAAGCCCAGCCAAGAACAAAGCCGTGCGGCTGGCGGAAGTAGCCCAAAGCGGACAATATCTTACTAGGGTCTGCATCAGTTGGTATCAGAATGATGCAGAATAGATATAAGTATTATTATTATTATTAT